CTGGAAGCAAGATGATAGCCCTGTGGCATGCACACTGCTAAGGGAAGACAAATATGAACGAAGTGGGGCTTTCAGTTCCCATATCTTTGCAATATCTTTTCTTTAAGCCTTACGGAGTTATTTTAGTAATGAGAGTCTGCCAAGGCAAGCTCAGCTGCAGAGCCATGAAGGGCAGAGCTGAGCAGAAAGCAGGGCAGGAGAAGGGTGGTCAGGAGAGCTCTGCAGGTGATGCTGTGTCTGGGGAGCGGGCAGGGGGACAGATGGACACAAGCTGTGCCCAGGCGTGGCAGCTGCCTCCTGTGCAGCTGAGCTCTCTCTGGCCAGTGTGCCATGCTGCAAGGAACAGCTCCCTGCCAGTGCTGAGGGAAGGGAGAGACTGGGAACCTTGTCCTAGGCCCTGGTAAAGGCAGTGGGCACAAGCTCAGGGGACCAGTTAAGTTCAGCCTAACATGCCAAGCTGGACTGACTGAGCAAAATTATATAACCCAGCACTATTTATTTTTTGGTTACCAGTACTGTCAGTTAACTGCATCAACTTAAGTTATAAAGTGTATTTTTATTCCACTACTTGGTTCCAATTGTCTATAAATATTCCACAGTCTTAAATAAATGCCATCATAAACCAAAGTGCTTCTACAAAAACATAGCATTATTAGGGACCAATTCTGATCCCTTGTTCCTAAAAGCATCTCTTGTTCTCAGAGGGTAGGTAAAAAGCAAGTTACCAAATATGCATCAGATTTAAAGAGCAAGCATTCAATTAGCAGTGTGACACCTCACTGAAATGGCAGAGCTATGGGTTAAAAAAGTCTGGGCAGGCCAGTGCCTGGCTGGCAGAGTGCTCCAGGAGTGGTGGGTCAGCTCAGCATCAGGGCTATGAGATCCAAGAGCACCAGCTGCCAGGGGTTGGCACCAGCTGCTCTTATTTTTAGGGTCCTGAGTCACTGTAGTCTCAAGGTTAAGGGCTGCTTGGTTTGCCATTGACAGCTGCAGGTTCCTGGTGGAAGAGCTGGCTGTTTCCTATGGAGAGGAGCTGCTCCTCATGGGCAGGGGCTGTCTGGCCAGGGCTGCAGCTTGTTTGCAGTCTGGAGTAAAGCAGCTAAGAGAAGCATTAACTTTCCTGTATCCCACTACACCTCTGGTGCCTGGATTGCTAGTGCTGGTTTTGCAGAAGGGTGAGACCTGTTTGCTTCTGACACCCATCTACAACTCCCTTATGTATTTCTCCCTCCAGATGTATATTTTTCATAAATCTTAGATATTTAGAAATGGCAGCATAAAATTTTAAATCTGTTCATCAACCTTCTTTCTTTGTGACCCTCTTCCCTGCTCCACTGAGCTTGAAAGCCAATTGGTTTTCCCCACAGTGGATGCACCAGCAGCAGGAGCAGCCATCTCCTACTGGCAGCCAGCAGACATCTCTGCCAGGGCAGCAGGGAAAGGAAGGAGCTGTGTGCCCTGGCACAGCACACATTAGAAATGAGTGGCACTGAGGGAAAATTCTCTGGGAAAGGTGTTTGCACAGAACACCTAGAAGCCTTTCACGCATTTTTTGAGGTGGGGACAGGAAGGCATTGGGGAAAAAACTGTGGGTTGGAAATGTATTTTCAACTATTTTTAAAGTAAACAAATTCCTTTTGAAGTTAGGGGTTTGTTGCATAAATTGTGCATTTGACAGAGTAAGTGGTGGGATGTTATGGTAATTACTAATGTCCCTTGAATATTTGGTTAACCACTATATATAATCCCAAATGCAGTAGCCTTTCCAGGGAGAATTTAGAACTACCCTTTGGGCAGGATTAACTGTTACTCTCTTGTTTCAGCAACTTTTCAATTATTTGATTCTGGTACAAGAAGTTTCCCATTTTGAGAGGAAAAAGGTGTCCTTTTGACTTTGAAAAACAAGTTCTATTCTGTACCTGTGTGTGGCAAGCTCTGAGGTGACTGCCTGGGTACTGGGCAGGAGGGGTGGGAAAACTGTCCCAGCTAAAAATCCCCAGCTCTGTTGCAGAAATGGATTTGACTTCTTTCCTCCCTAGATCCAGACACAGAAAATGTGTTACTGCAATGCTGAGGTCTTTGTTTCAGGTCACATTCTTGCTGAGTTATTAACACTTGAGAAGATTCTCACCCCTAACCTGCTTCTCCTAATGGCAACCAGAACATAGCCACCCTGTCTCCACAGTTTTCCTTCTGCCTGTTATTGTATTCTCAGCCTCCTTTTCAGTTTTTCCTAGGAAAGTCTTCCTTGAGTCAGCACCAGTATATGTAGGCTCAAGGCAGAAAGGTGATCTGCTCTTCCTAAGCTCAGTCTTCTCTGTGGAAAATGTCATATCCTTGGGCTATCACCCTTGCTTTGTGAATGTAAAATATTGCTTAAAGATACAAGCATATACACTTAGGTGACTGCCTAACTCAGAATTTTTCTTCTGTGTATTAAAATACAGAGAGAGTTTTATGCTTTCACGGGAGTTTCTAGTCTGGATGATTGCCTAGGCTGGGGCTCTAAATCATATCAGTATGTCTCTGCTTAGCTTTAGAGCATACTTTTATAAATTTTATTTTCATCCAGTTGTTGCTATTTGTTTTCAGCCCATTTGCTGCCTGGTTGGGATACTCATCTTGTTCTTCATTACTGAGGCAATAAATGTTTCTCAGTATGCAGGGCCCAGCTACCCCATGGTGTGTCCTGTGTGGACTCCAAGCACTCTTCCCACATGGGCTCACCCATCCATCCACAGCCACTTCTTCCCTTGTTTTCCATCTTCATGACAGCTCGTCTCATAAATTCACTCAGGCATCACTGGCACATCTCCTCACTACTGCTCTAATACCAGAGGAGAAAACATGCTTGTGATGCCTTGATTTTCAGGACATTCACTACAAATAAAATAGCACACTGCAGTCACTTGCCAAGATAAATCCTTATAAGCAAGTTAAAATAAGATCTTACTCATTGGAGTACAATTTGAAGCCTAAGAAAATGTCATCCGTAAGGCTTCTGTATAAAATAAACCTGGGTTTAGTTTAAAAAAAATACTTCAAATACAAACGAAATACAGACTTCACTAGGGATAGACCTTTTCATAATCTGCAGAGCTTACAAGCTCACATCTTAACAAGTTCAAATGTAGAAACTATGACAATGGGTCTGATATCTTTTTGGATGTAGAGCAGAGAAACAATACAGTGTGAGGGATTTCAGCATTTAGATATCTGCAATAGAAATTCAGTAGCACAACTATTCTAAAATGTGGCTAATTTCTTGTTTCATTTTCCATCTTCTCATGCTCACTTGAGGGCTTCCAGCACTGGCTTTTTAAAGTGGTCTAAGAGGCAGTCAGCTGAAATGATACCTAATTCTAATCACACACAAATAAACTGGGCATGGGAATAGCATCACTCCTAATCAGCACGAGTAAACATTTATCAAACACTACAAAAAAATGTTTCCAAATCAATTAATTTTCATATTATTTGGAAGTAGAAAGAGGCTTCACTTTGGTAAATTGTCAGTGCTCAGAAATTTGCTAGGTGTTTTCAGAGAAATTCTCTTATGGGAGATAGCACAAATTTTCTGGCCAGAGAGCCTAATACTGCAAATATAATTTGACCAAGAGCTGACAGAAAAGGGGATGAAGAACCTGGGGAAGGGGACCATGGTGGCATTAACAGATATGGCTAGCTGGGAGAAGTGTTTGGTTCCTTCTCAGCCTTCCCCTGTGTTCAGGAACCCCCAGCTTGCTCCTTTGGCACCCTCCAGGCAAGCACCCAGGGAAAGAGTTAAGTCATATTGCAATGTGACATAAAGCTGAAGCAAATAAGCAGGAATTACAGTGTTTGCATTGTGAGCAGGCTGGTGAGAGAGAGTTTAAGGAGGGATTTAAAAGACAAGACATGATAAACTGTGCAGAATTAGCGAAACATTTCCTTATGGAGAAGTGGCACAGAAAAAAGAGATGAGAACATCAGTCTGGGTGAGCCTGGAAGGAGCACCAGGGGTGTGTGCATATCAGAGATGGTATTTGTCTGATGACACCAGGGCTGGATTTTCTAAGGAGAAGCAAGAAGTAGATATGAAAATGGTAAAAGCATTTATACTGAAGTCACTGACCTCATATATATATATTCTGTATATATATATATATGTATTGTGCTCCCACTGACCTCAGGCTTACTCTGAGAAGCCCAAACCTAATGAAGGTTGGATGAATCATGAGAAGCTGTGGCTTTGAGGGATCCCAGAGTTGGGTGATTTGCAAAGAAACATTATAAACCAGTGGGATGGCCAAGAGCAAGGGCAGCAGAAGGGGTGCCATGCTGCAGTCATGAACAGGTCAGCCCAGACTTCTCAGTAGAGTTGCAGAGAAATATTGGAGCCTAGACACATTTTGGGAAGACAAAAAGGGTAAGGGGAAGTGTAATTTACCCAAATTGGAGAGCTCAAATGGAAAGGAGATGGTGAGATTACTGGCAGGAATGGAAAGGAGGAAGCGGGGAAGGAGCCAGAGTGCAGTACAAGCTGCAGCTTCCCACTACTGCTTGCATGAGCTTGGAGGACTTTGGTGTCTGTCATCCCACAGCCTTTCATCAACCCCAATCCCAGTCATAAATTTTAAAATATATTATGGCTCTTGTATAAAAGTAACTCCATGCTACTCTTGCTACATATTTCAAACTAATTTTCATTAAAATAGCAGCTTTCCAGCAAGCACTGGCATTCAGGCGCATGTGTAAGGGAGTTGGTCTCCACTAAACAGATGTACACAAAACCCAGCTCTGAAGGTGCTACAACATTTAGAGCAGACATCTGTGCTATTTAACAGGAGATAATCCCATGCACACCCAACTAACATGCTCACAGCCCTTTCCCAAACTATGGATTTGGATGCTCAAATGTTATGGTTACTCAACAGAAAATGCAACAATTTCTGAGCAGGTCTTGATTCTGGATTGAGTGAAGTACGTTAATTTGCTTTTAAATACCCTTAAGTCCCTGGAAAATTTGAGTTTTTTATTATGTTTGGGAAATAGCTCGTGATTCTTTTCTAGGACTCAAATGTTATTCTCTTATTTGCAGGCAGTCTTTGCCATTTCTCTGTAAGTCTTCTCATCCATAAGCTGGTCCTTTGCATGCCACTTGTTTCCTAAGCTTCCCACTTTGCCACTTTCTGTAGACAGAAGCCTATAATATCTCAAATTTAGCTGTGTCAAGCATTTCTGTAAACTTCTTCTCTATGGTATGTGAAAAATATCATAGGTTTTTCTAGACCTTTCTGAGACCACCTTCACTTGAAAATGTTTTCTTGTTTTGGTGTTGCTTGTAGACTGCAGAGCCACAGTTTATGGGTGGAGTGTTTATCCTGGTGGGCCCTTTGTGATACCTCACTTAAAACTGGTGTTTGTCTTTGCCAGGACGATTCTGTGTTAACAGGTTTTTATTATGAAAAGCACAGCTGACCTTTAAAGTCGAAAGGCCATATTTATGAATGACTCAGCCTCTTCTCAGTGTGGCTGAAGCTTACAGTATGCAAACAAAAGCCAAAGCATACTTCTCCCATGTAACTTTTTGAGAAAGCTGTATTTGCCTCTGGCATTCACCAAGGGAGCTTTCCCTTTGTGTGCAAGAGGAAAATTGGGCAGGCTACAATAAAAGGCATTGTTGGTCCCAGCATGCAAAGAATGATGATCCAAGAACTGAAATAATAGAAAAGTGTCGGGAGGGAATTTATTTCACAAACATGTCAAGATAGCTTCAGGCTTACTCAAGTTTTGATTCAAGCTTCTCATTCTTCTTAAATTCTTTCCAGGCCAAAGTGGATTAAATAGCTGCTAATCTTCAATCATTCAGCATTTCCCTGGGATCAGGGTTTGAGGATGGCATTGGCGTGCCGACATTTCAGCCTCCGGTTCCTTAATGACAGTAAACCCCAGGGAATCTCAGAGTATGTACTCTTGCACTGTGATTAGGGTATGTCTCCTCAAATCCCATTGTGAAGGTCTCTGCAGGAAGGCCCTTCTTGCTTTGTGTCCTGGAGAGCATCTGTCACAATAGTCAGCAAGTATGATCAATATTGCACCCAAAATGTTCGTAAGAGGTTATAAGCTATCGCATTTTATGGAGCTGGTTGCCAGACACAAATATTGCCTGACAGCAGTGCTTGCAAATCATTGCAAATAGGAGAAGAAAACTAGTCTTGCTGTGATATATCTGGACAGATACTGCCAGCCCTAGATCTTAAAAAAAAAGAAAAAAAATTAAAAATTGTGTCTTTTGGCATGCTAGTCCTATTGGGATGTTGTCCAGTTGAACTGACAACAAAACAAGAATAGTAATAATAAAATATTCCTTTATAGACATTATTAATTCCTTTTCCTAAATTTATTTTTAAGAATAGTCTCCTAAAAAGTTCAGAACTTGTCTTTTTTTCCCCCTTTTCTTCCCTGCTGGAAAATCCCTAGGAGCTAATGTCAGTTAAGAATTTGCAGTAGCAGCTAAATGTAAAAACTATGTAATTTATGTCCTGTGGCCCTATCAAATATAACTCCAAACCATGTTCACAGCACTGCAAATTACACAGCACTTCAGCAGCATGAGAGATGGCACATTGCCTGTTGTGACAGATGATCCCACACCTAGAACTGACTGAGAGCCTTCATGAAATAGCAAGGCATTCCTTTGGTGCCTGACTGATGTAGGACAGCTGATCTTTTTCTCCTTCAAGGAGAATTCCCCTCAGGCCTTATTTGCAGTGGTTTATGTGCATGTGAATTATTTGTATTAAAAGAGAATTAGTATGGCATTTATTGGTGAACTGTAACACGTTGAGATGAAGTGAAATTTTCCACTACTTTTTGCATTAACAATAGTACTGGCTGTTGAATATTTCTCCTTTTTCTGATAGTGGACACCATTTTCATTAGCTCTAAGGTTCCCCTGTGCTTCTCTGTAAGAATAAATTTGTTTATACCTGCTTTTAAGGCCTCTCTGCCCTTCCAGAGCAGTCCAGCAGAGGCTGAGAATAAATAGCAACCAAAATGCTATTAAAGTGGCCAAAATGAAGTATAACACAAGCAAATACTTTATAATGTTCACAATATTCTTTTTAACCTTCCTCTTCCTTAGATGTAAATTAAAAGGTTACGAATGGCTCACAGGGACTGATGGGTTCCCTCTGGCTCTTTCTTTTCTCCCTTGGTGTTTCCCATACCTTAGTTCTTACTTGATGAATATTGCTGAACCCTGTTCAGCTAGTCTTATTTAATATAATCTAACCATTTTGTTCATAAACAAAGTGATTAACACAACAGAATGTTTTGGACAATATGATCTGGAGCTGTTGGGCTGACTAGAATGCTGTATTACTTTTGGTTTTTTGGAGATTTTTAGACCCTTTGGTATGGAATCCATGGGTACTAAACGGTTTTCCTGATAAAATTAATAATAAAATGTTAATCATCATGATAAAATAAGAGGTCTAAGATTTAGTGGCTCTTTTCATTATCATATTTTGCCCAGCTTCACGAATAGCCATTATATTCAGACCTGATTTATTGAAAATTTCTGGAAAAAAATGCATATTTTAGTCAAGGATAATTAGGAGGAATTCTTGGAAACTGTTTGTACTGCTCAAACTCAGCTCTCCATTGGTAACTTTTATTTATACAGCTCCAAAAGCATGCCAGGAAAATTAAAGTAATTATCAAATTCTACGAGAAATTTTTGCTATATTGTTCCTTATAAAGGAAGTAAAATCTGCTCTTTCCTCAGAACCCAGACCTGCCTCAGTTCGCAAAAGATGGAAGAACACTGTAATTACAAAATACAGAAAAGATTTGGCTTTATTTCAAAGAGAATCAGATGAGTCCATCAGTCTCCACTGCCTTTTGTGGGCTCTCTGTGCTGTACGCAGCTCATGCCATGCCTGCCCAGGGGTTACCTGCCCGTGCAGGTGAACATCCAAAGGCATCACCCACTGGTGGGTGCACGGACAGTCCATGCACAGTTTGTCAGCACTGCACCTCAGACACAGCCCAAATGTGGGCAGCAGCACAGATCCTGTGTGGTCAGGATGATGGCTGGGAGGGATGAGGGGAAGCTCAGTGTGAGCAGAAGAAACAAATGGTCAATGAACGAGTAGTCAGGAGGGCAGTGATGAATGGGAACTGCCCTGAGCAATTCAATGAAAAATTCAATGGGAGGTGAAAAACACTGAAAATGGGGTGGATGAGGGAAAACACTGCCCAGGAGGGTCTTGTGAAAATCTCTGTGTGGCACAGAGACCTCTGTGTGGCTGGTGACAACCACAGAGCATCTGTAGGGCTTTGGGAGGATTCCTCACTGGTGGGGCTGGGTGCAAGCAAGGATTTATTTGGTAGTTTTGTCTTGAAATATACATTAGTGCTAGCAACAGTAGGTCTGACTGTAATGAGCTCAATGAATGTGGCACAAGGGATGTTTCAGGTAGAAGGCAAAATGTGGGATTTCTTGTGTGCATAATTAGGATGCTCGGCAGCTGGGTAAGCTTTAATTGCCATCCAAAGCTCCTGATCTTGCCAAAGAATGAAGAGTGTGAAGACAGCTATTGATTTCCATCTGGACAAACAATTTACTTTTTAGTGCTCATCAGCCTGATGTGTATCTTCATTCCCTGTCACTGCTGTGATCAAGCTAAAGCTGCTTTCATCGGCAGATTTCAGGTGGGATTTCAGCTGAATATGTGGTTAGAATTGCAAGGCATTAATGGTAAAAACTGACTCACCACACTGGCAGTGCTCAATATGCTGTTAGTTTTGAAAATCTCCACCTATCTAGGTCCTTATATAAAGCATCTCTTTGCTGTAATGTCCACTTGCATCCCAAAAATAAAACAGGCACAGAAAGAGCCTTCTTCTCTCCCTGCTCAACAGGAGCAAGTTAATGTTGATTTTATATGATGTATGTTTGTTTATAAATGTTTTACTGAGCAGAGGGTTAGATCAAAGAAGTGGGTTTTGAATTTCACTTTGAGGACACAGATGTCCATATTCAACATGATCACTTTTGGGGGAGGCTTCCAAATTTCATGGGCTAAATGACACATTCTTTTTCCTGTCCTTGACAGTTTCATTGTTCCAGGGGCATTTAGCTGGTGCAGGTCATGATCTTGAAAGAGAGACACACAGAGAAAACTATTATGTAATATTACATAGTAATGCCACTACATTAATAAATGCAGTACTTTGGAAGGAAATGCTGAGGAGAGAGGAGGTAGAATTATTTTTGCAAAGCGATCAAAAAACCCACATTTGCTGCAGTTTACAATATGCAAATAGCATCATTAGGCACCAACATTTTTATATAGCTACTCAGTCTAACATTGTGCATGCAATGGAAATTGGTGTGCCCATGCAGGGTAGATGTGTGTACAGCTTTTTCTGATATACCAGGAGAGAGCACCTCTCCTATGAAGACAGCCTGAGAGAACTGAGGTTGTTCTGCCAGAAGAAGAGGAAGACCCAAGGAGACCTCACCGTGACCTTCCAGTACTTAAAGGGGGCTTATAAAAAAGAGACAGAGCTACTTTTTACATAGGTAAGATAGGGGGCAAGAAGGAACAGCTTTAAGATGAGAACATTTGGAAGAAATTCTTTACTGAAGGATGGTGAGTCCCTGGAATAGGTCATGCAGAGAAGCTGTAGATGCCCCATCCTTGTCAGTGTTTAAAGTTGGATGGGGCTTTGAGCAGGTGTCCCTACCCATGGCAGAGGAGTTTGAACTAGAGGATTTTTAATGTCCCTTCCAGCCAAGGACCTTCTAGGTCCCTTTCTATGAATCTATGAAATGTTTAACATGGATTAATATGGTTTTTGACTAGCCATGTCTTGATATCTTTTTTTTTTTTTTCTTTAAGAAAGATTTAACTTGATGTGTAGGGGAAAAAAGAATCAAATTCAAATAGGCCCCATTGGAAAGAGTGATTTTTTTTCCTGTTGACTTTAGTAATTAATCCCATTAAAGTAGCCTGTAGTGGAAAGCAAGTATATGTGAACAAGAGAACAGAAATTAAAATGGTGAGTTTTAGATTAATATTTGCCAAACTTAAAATGGGAAAATGATGTATTTTCAGTTGGTTGATCTTGAATTATGTCTTGCATGTTAGAATATTTTAGATATGTTGTTATAGATATGATGTTACTTTTGTTTGTATGTATATATCTCCCTTTTTAATCAGAAGGTGACAATATACACAGCAAAAGTCATCTGGTACCTTAGCTGTCAAAATACAATGGTTATTGATATCTCCCCTTTGCTCATCGGGGTTGGGTTATAGTCTCATTTTATACACAGCAGTTCTACTGTTGGTTACAAAATGCTTCCCACATGAGACTGTCTTATCATCTTCACTGTTTCTGGAGAGATTTTGAGAAATGAGTCATGGTGTGGTATGTCCTACTTAGGATACTTCAGATGTTGCTTTTACAAGGTGCTTCCCCAAGCCTTTAACTTTCAGGTCTTGAAAGAAGACTACTCAGAAGTGAATCACCTGAAACCATTAATTATCTTTAAAAATGTGTCTTTCTCCTGTGAAAAATAAATAAAAGAATGCTTTTCCCTGTGCTATTAAAAAGCTATTTTATATTATTTGTAACTGAAAAGAATAAGTACGTATATAGTTCCATTCCTGCTGTTAATGCATCTGTTAAAGTGAGCAGATAATTATACTTTAGATCTGTCTATCCATATTCTAAAACTATGATCATAATCATTAAATAATTATATTTTATATAGATGCACAATAAAATTTCTTCTATCCCTGCTCACTGTACTTATTACCATATGGTACCTTAATCCTGAAAGGAATAAGAATATGAGCATTTTGAGGCACTAGTCTATATGTATTTATAGCAGTAAGAAGTAGAACTGCCAAAATGCATGAAATTTTCTTTTACAGCTTTCAGAGAAATCAGTGAGAGGTCTCTGCTTTCAGTGCTGATTTTGTCTTTGCAGGTAGATTGTAAAAGGTATAACTGGTCCTCTGCATTTGATTTCATAAATACGTTTCAAACAGAACTGAATCTATGTGGTCAGCAAAGTTATTGGCAGACATATTCACTATATGAACCAAATTCTAGCCATTTATTAAGACCACACTCATTCCTTTCCAGGAACACGGTTAGCAGAGTTTGTATGTCTACCTCAAACTAAAGTAGTTGGATTTCTACAAAATATTAAGTCACTATCAAATGTAGAAGGACAGAGAAATCTAAATATAAGCATATCAGACAGAAGTGCAAGAATTAGTGCAGAACACCTGCAGCACACAGTAAACAGTAATGTACAGGTCATCCCAAGTCCTCAGGGGTTCAGGGGAAAAAAAGCTTGTAGCCATCAGTTTCAAGACAAGCACAAGAAAAGATGACTGAGATATTTTACTGCTGTAACTAGACATAGGTCCCTGGAGCTGAATACAGGCATATTTCCATGGAATTAAGAGGAAGGAGCCGATTTTGGCTAGAATTCTTCCTAACCAAGTGAAAGGATAGGAGGGTTTGTATTATGCATAGAAGGTTGCTGTTGATTTTAACTGCAGTAAAACAGTTTAATCTACCTTTTTCTCCTTGTGGTTTGAATATGCTTGAGGTGGAAATCTTCATTTTGATTTGTACTGATTGGTGGGAGAATTCAGATAGACCCTGTGAAAACTGAGCACTGGGCTAACAGCAGCTTCACAAAGGTCAACAAGGAGACACATTTGCAAATGGGGTAGATCTGTACACAATAGGAACAAACCAGGAGCCCTGCAGAAAAAGATCTGAGGGTTATTGTGGCCTCCAGGTTCGAAGTCTGCAAATACACAAATAGTGTCTTGGGCTGCACCAGGATGATCGTGGCCAGTAAACCAAGAGAAATTGTTATCACCATCTACTTGATACTGGTGGGGCCATATCTGGAATACTGACCAATTCTGGTCTGCAGCTGTCCCATGAAAAGAGAGACTGAGAAAATGGAGATTGCCCTGCAGAAGACTACCATGATAATTAGGGGTCTGAAACATGTGGCATGAAAAGAGATTTGGAGAGCTAGGCTTCTTTGGTTGGGAAATGAGGTGGCTAAAAAAGGAACTTGAAGCAACCTATGGGTACTTGAAAGACAGTTAAAAATACAATGCAGATAAATTCTTAATAGACATTGAAGGTAAATCAGGCAGAAGTTATGCCTTGAGAGATTCAAATTGTATGAAAGCTTTTGCACTACAAGGATACATGAGTCTAATACCAAATACACAGAAATAAGCTCTGGTCTTCTTACTGACATTTGGAAAAAAGGCCTTAAAGCTCATAGATGGTTCAGCTCAACATCCCCTCATGATTAAATATTAAGTGTATCAAATGTACAGGTTTATCTGCTGAAAGCAGTGCCCTGCAGGTTTATCTGCTGCAGATTTATCTGCTTCAGGCAGCATCCTCTGTGCTGTCTGTGACTTCTGTCATGTGGTGGAACTACTTGCCAGTGACATTGCTGGGAGGAGTTTTGCCCCATTCAGAACTGCACTTCAACTGCGCCATTTCTCCATTCTATTCCAGCTGGTGAGTTTGAGGTATCCAGAATCCTCTTGGTAAAGTGATAAGGAACAGCAGTTCAAATGAAATATGCTGATCACTGATCATCCATTGCCTCTTCAAGGCTTCCAGCTGCTGTCACTCACTGTATAATATCTGCCTCCTGTGGAAGCACCTACCCATTGTGCCCCCATGGTGGGGCAAACAGCTGTTAAACATTCCCCTTCGAAGAAGACAAGATCATTTCAAGCTTGTTCTGTGATAAATTATAGCAGAAGTTATTGCCACCTGGACACACTAACACTGTAGCTGATCCATGTATCCTTCATTGTTTTATAACTTTTTACCTCTGACACTTAGGACAGCATATTAATAAACTTGGTAGAAGAGCTTATTGGAAATCTTTAAATTTCTTACCTTGATTTGTGATGTATTAGTCTGCTTGTTTGTCTCTAGCAGTAATCTCAGCGCTGAGGATGCTAGCAAAAGAACTCCTTGCCCTTTGTAGGAACACAAAGAAAATCACAAAGTTGTTGGCTCATGTGCATACATATACATATATATATATTCTGTTTCATGTGGATATAAAAGCTAATTCCACTTGAACAAGTTTCATGTAAATATAAAGCTTCATAGTTGCATTTGCAAGTTATTGACCAAGTCAACACAAAAAATGTACAAAGCTTTTATAAATCAAGGCAAAAGATGCCTAGCTGATTAGAAAGACTGTGAATTAATTCTCAGGCAGCTGGCTCCTAGAAGGAATGAGAAATGCAAACCATGAAAAGCAAAAAACACTACAGCCAAATGTCACTGCCTCTAACTGCTGAGCTTGCGAGGGCGTTTCAGGCAATGCGAGGGAAGGACAGCCTGCCACACCTGCGGGGTGCTGCCAGCTGGACAGTTGGCTCTACAACAGGGAAATGGAGTCTTAGGTTAAACATTAAAAGGTATGTCAAGTTACATTGCCAAGAGCTTGGATCCTTCCATACATATTAACTTGCATCCATCATCATTTTTAAGCGTTTGCTTTTTTAGGCAATCAAGACATAGTTTTGATGGTTGATATGAAGGGACGGCAAGAACACAGCATACGCATTTTTCCTCTTGTATCAGTGCAGCCCAGTTTAGCAGCCATGACTTAGCAAATCACCCTTCCCTCTGGAAACCCCAAAGTGGGCACCTACAGCACTTCACAGCAGCTGGGTTTGGATTCATGAGACCCATTGAACAGCGGCTGCAAAAGTACGAATGGCATGAGCAATTTCCCCTTCTACTGCTAGAGCTGATGCCTTTTTGCCAAGCTTATAAAATAGCATACTTTATTAAAAATGCTGTTGATAGCAGAAATACTGTTATTGTTGTGTTGCAGTAACAACAAGAACCATTTGTAAGACACTTATCCTAGCTCTGTCTCCTCCTTCTTTTAGCTGGAGTAGCATTTCTGGCATATTTCTGGGAAGTCTGTCCATCAGGGACACAAATTGTGCATTTCTATAATTTTCTGTAAGAGATATGTTAACTTGTGTAATTCAGTACAAATTTCCACAGACTAGTAATCTCATTTTTTCATCATAGTCTTACCTGTGGTACCTAACCCATGCTTTTTTTTTTAAATTCAAGGAGTGACTTTTCTCCTGCATAGGAAGAAGGGTAAAAGTGGTAATAAGGTGTGGTGAAGGTGAGGAGATAGGAGCACAGAAGGTAAACAGTCAGAATTCTGCAGCTCTTGCCTCAGTGATCCGTTTGGTCCATCAAGTAATCCAGAAGTTGATTCTGGTTGTTCACAATAACTGCAATCTACTGTAACAAAACACGTGGGAAGGACTACAAATGTGAGGAATGCCCTGTGCCTCTGCATGTTGTCCAGGCTGCTTGGTGCCGTGTGTCACAGCAATGCTGCCAAAGCTGACTTGCAAAGAATCACCCTCTGACACTTTGTCTCCCAACAACTGTGTAGCTGTCAGTTCATGGGAATTCCTCCTTCTCTGCAGGATGCAAAATGCCAGCTGAGGAAACACCCAGATCATTATCCCACAGCAGACAAAACAAATATTGTGTTTCCCCTGAACCAGCTATATATAGAATTTATCTGACCCCAGTAAGATTCTGAGATAGCACGGGTTCAACTCAGGCAAAGGAAAATACTGCTCCCCAAAAGGATTTCTCTACAGGCTAGCAGATGCACTGTTGATTTATGCTGTCCAGAAGAAGTTGTGGATGGCATAAATAGTGTCTTCTTCTGGTCTCTTCTTCCAGAAGTGGTCTGTTATATAAAGAATAGATGGCAAACAAATCTGTTCAGCATTTGAAAAATGTAAAAGCACTTGGGAGCTTGTCCATGCAGTGGGGTGAAGTGACTTACTGCCTGCCCAATGTCTTCAGCTTCTCTAAATGAGGAGCTCAGACAATTATACAGTAGAAATACTGACTCACTGAGTCACCATGAGAAGAGCAGAAAGAGCAAACTTCTAACAACCACCTGAGTGAAAACCCCTTTGAGTCGATGTTTATGTATCTAAGGCATGATTAAAGCAACATTTTTGTCTTCCATGGCTGTGAGTGAGACCTGGTCATGTACCTTTTCTAAGAGAATGATCCATTGATCATAATGGGAGCTTTTCCAGCAGATCGGTGTTAATAATGGCATTTGACTGTGCAGTAGTTGCACAGCTTTCTATCAAGCTGAAGAAATCACTTAAACTTGTATTCTTTTTCAAAAGTGAAATTCAGTGTCTCTCCATCTTTCTGGTCCAGATTCCCTTTGTTACAGTGGGGTGTGCTGATGACTGAATGGTTCGGTATCTGCCTTGTCCTGGCTTTTCACTCTCTGGAATTTCAAGTAGCATTTCATTAACAGTGTGAGAGATGTCCATTAAAGTTTCAGGGATGTTAGTGGTGATGTTCCAGCATTTCCAAGCAATGGGAAATGTTTTCCAACTTTGCAGCTGCCTATCATGCCTGAGCAATTGCCTGTGTGGTATGCCTTTGTATTCAGCAGTGATCCAAATTCTCCTTTGTCATACAAATTGTTCAATAGCAGTGGCCATCTCTGACCTTCAGTGACCCATGTAAAGGTTATGTATTTACTACTGGGCACGTTAGACTCATTATTACATAGCTGTTTTCACTAAAACAATAGTATCCAGTGTAAAAATAATTACTCAATCACAGGACTGAAAGGGACCTCTCCTTATCCATCCTTCTTCCCTGTCTCTGGCTTTCTGCTCCTGGCAGATGTTTCTTCTTAAAAAAACAGGTATAGAGGCTGCACATTTTTACCAGGCAATCTTTTTCTCTGCTCTTTATTGTTAGAAAGTTTTCTGTACTTTTCCTTTATACAATTTAAGCCCGTTGCTTGCCTTCTGCCGTGTGGAAATTACTCCCTTCATCTTTGTGGTAATTTTTTACATAGCTGCAGACTGTTCTCAAGTTGTGGCTGTGAAAAAACATAAAAATTTTATTGATTCTCTACCTTTTCTTTTTTTTTTTGGCAAAGGGATAAAATCTCACTCTGGATATGAATACTTTTCTGTCATAACTTTTAAACCATGTCTCCTGTTTCAGTATCTATTCCTTCCTCCAAAAGTGAATGCACTGTTCACAGATGTACCCTCAAAAACATTTTGCAAAGCAATTTTCTTCTTCCTGTCACTGCCAGCAGATGACTCTGTGCAGTGCAGCCACAAAACACCTGGATTTGCATCCTCCTCTGTATGAAGCATTTTCTCCTTTCCAAATACAGCTTTCTGTGATACTGCTTAAGCGGTCTGCAGTCCATATTCTATTAGGAGCATAGTTTTCATTGTTCTGCATGACTTCCATAGTGTGACATAGATTTTTTTATTTGCTGGGGGGCAGCTTTGCTCTTTTATACTAGTCTCTCCAGCAGGACATAGTTACAGGAAAATACTGGATATTCAACAAGGTAGACAATACTTACATACTATGTTGGTGCCTGTAGCTGACCTATTTTGCATTACTGCATGTGATGAATTTTAACAACACTCCCATAAGACTATTCTATTTTGTAATGTTAATTTGTGAGTAAACTGGTATTTTGATAATTTTATTATAAATATGCACAATGTTGCTCTGGTGCATCTGTTCCTAGATTGTTAATGATGTCTTTCTATTCACCATAAATGATAGAACAACAATCACAATCAGACCTTAATTTGTATTTTAAACTGCACAGTTGTATACATTTATGGTAAGACAGATGACTTTTTTACTGTAGTCATTAGTTCTGAAACCTTGTTTAAACAGCTCCAACACACAATTGTGTGCCTAGCACACACTGTCTCATAGCAGTGTGTCTCACAAACAGATTCTCCAGCATTCTCTCCCCTAAAGGTATTGAGAAGTTGTCAGAAGTGATACCTGATCAGCTCCCACGGATTAGCTGTGGTCACCTGAGCAGAGCTGGTGACTGTGCCTCTAGGGCAAGCCTTACTGTCCTAGAGAGCATGTCACGTGTGTATGAGATCACAGTGTAGCATCACCTCATACCCTGTCATTTCAGTGAGATCTAAAAATTATCATCACTTACAAATTTATAAAGTGATTTCAGATATCAAAAACATCTCTATTGACTATGACTTTCCAATCCATTGGCTGCAGGAAAACTATTTTCAGTATCTTTTCTGATAGGAACCCTGGCAAGTTTTATAATTACTGGATAGTAGTAATTATACTGCTTTAGTCCTTTTTCTTCTGGCTAAAAGTAATGCTAACTAAAAGAAAACCAAACTGTCCCAGTGGCTATATCCCAAATAAGTCCAAATAGGCTTTAACAATGGTGGAAGGATTACATGTTATACCAGATACAGTATGATACTTATAGCAGTTTTTCCAGAATTTGAAATGTCCTACATGATAGCAACTCAATTACCTGTCTATTTGTTTAAGCAAAGTAGTATTTGCACATTACTCAGTGAATGACAGTTATTCAAATAACTGCTCCTATGCACATTAAGTAAAAACAGCCTTTACAGAATATTTGGAGAACGTGTGGAAAATGCAGATGAAAATCTAGTGAGCTGCCATTTTAGAAAGACACTTTGGTATTTCCTTCGTGCTATTCATTAACCATACTCCCAAACGCTGAACATCTGCAGATACCTGCGAGAGCATGGCCAAGACAGCTGCCTGGGTTTTGTCTGAGCTCTGACAGAGGAACACAGAGCTGTGTGCTAGTGAGGTCCCCTCCATGACCAGAGGGACACTTGCAAAAGTCTTGCCAGCAAAAGCAGAGTTGGAAGGAAAATTCATATTCCTTCTTTCTTGTCTGCTCTGGTGAGGACAGAGCTTGGAGATACCTGGGTGACTCGGCAGCAGGAGCAGTACAGCTGAGGACTGGTGCTGTGGATGGTGCCTCTGGCGCAAGGTCTGGCACAGCGCCTCATCTGCCAGCTGCCTGGGAGGAAGAGATGTGCTCCGGCAAAGGCTGGCCCTCCTCCAGGATAACCTCCAGTCACGGTAAAACTGGGGAAAATGAAACCAGGGGAAGCGTTTGTTTTAGGGAAAAATGTGTGAAATCCTCACTGTTACAGTCCCTGAGGCAGAGGTGGAGCAGAACAGCGGTATTCATCCTATTCCACAGAGGTGGAAACCTTAATAGTATAAAGGGTTGGGAGATGGCGGCGGAGCACCGCTCTGCCGGAGAGTACCCTGTAAAAAGCCATGACAAGAGAGTCGGCTGGGCTTATTTCCCTAGGATTTGTATTTTGAACTGTCATGGGACACGCCTGGTCTTCAGCTTCCTTCCTTCCTTCAGGGAAGGAGAAGGCAGCGGCAAAGGGCTCGCAGGTGGCCAAGCCAAGGCACCCTCGAGAAGGAGGGTCATCAACCTTCCCTCTGCCCACCCCATCTGAGATGGATGTAAGACTGTACCTGGACGGGGATTAGAACACTGTCAGCGCAGCTGCGGCGTTGCACGGAACTACTGGCAGTGGGCTGTGCCGCCCCGCCGCCCCTCAGGCCACACGCGGGGCCGCCCAGGCCCGCCCGCACAGGTAAGCGGCGCCGCGCGGGGAGCGGCCAATG